TGAATCCTAGCGAGAGCCCTGGTTCCACACCCAGCGATGCTACAACAACAACAACAACTGGCAGCAACAACTGAAGCCAGTACCTCCGTTCTGCCACATCTGCAAAGCTTTAGGACACCCGCGCACGCACTGCCCTAATCGTCAATAATCGACAACACCACAGCGGCAACTTCGGCCTTCAAGCAGCCAAGTTGCCTCAACGCAGGTAAATCCTACGACTCAGATTCAAGCTTCAATGACTTCAACAGGACAACCTGCACAAGGAGCAAGAAACATCGTCAGCGGCATGGCAAAGATAACAAAATCCTGCATCACCAAGTCACCACCACACTACTCACCAGAAGAACAACTCGACGAAACCACACCCCGCCGCGAGTCACTTCAGCTGAACCCGACATACGCCGCCATCGCCCAAAGCGAACCATCCGGAAGGGACACATGGTTCTTGGACAGTTGCTGCAGACAGCACATGTGCTCCTCATGACGCTTCGTTCAACGAGAACACCAGCTTCAACGCGAAGTCGTCATTACAGTCGCCAACAATCAAAACCTGCAAACACGACGACAAGGGGTAGTTCAACTTCAGTCAAGGGAAACAAACGTTGTACTACAGATGTCAAAAGTACTAATCGCGGAGGGACTCGGGTACAACTTACTGAGCGTCAGCCAGCTGATGTCAAAGGGGATTCACCTCGAAGAAGACAGTACCACTCAAGAATTCAAGTTGTATCACGGGAGAGGAGGACTCTACATCGGCAGGGTGGTCCTTAAGAACAACGTCTTCGTTCTTGATTTCGTCCCTGATCTTGGCACTACCGACAGCGACGCCATCGTTAACTTCACCGACTGGACACACCCTCCGGACCTTGATCCAGAATTCAGTCCAGAAGGCTTCTCGTATTCACACACCATCCCTGAAGCAGAAAGAACAAGGGCGTTAGCAACAATTCAAACAACATCAGCAGCAGCAGAGACAATATCGGAAGCAGCAGAGACAACATCGGCAGCAGCAGAGACAACATCAGCAGCAGCAGAGACAACATCGGCAGTAGCAGAACCATCAATGGAAGCAGCAGGAACGTCAACACCAGTTGCTGGGCCTTCAACAACACCACTCCTCATCGACAACACACCACCAACACCAGCGCAACAACTACACCCAGCACCACGAGAAGTTCATCGCAGCGCCAACTTCACCGCCAGCTTCTACTCCAACTCCGACATGTACCGACGATCACCCGGACATCGCGCCAACGAAAGCACCTGGCACGCAAGGTTGGGACAACCAAGCAACACAGTATTAAACAGTACAATAAGAGCAAGAGTACTCGACAAGGACTCGCTCCTACTGACCGACGGATGAGAAATTCAACGAGCACGAGGAACGTGCTTCACCTGCCCTAAAGGCGACTTACCGCGTCGACTATTCGCGCCACATCACAACCCAAGCGCTCCCGCGTACGCACCACTCGAGAAGCTGTATAGCGACATCCTGTTCAATCGGGAACCAGGACAAGTCACATACAACTACACGATCACCTTCATCGACGCCGCCACCCGCTACGTGTGGCACCTAAACCTACCTAGCCGCGACATGGCATTCGCAGCCTTCGTTGCCTGGCTACCAGTACCAGAGAGAGAGTCGGGCGTACAACTGAAAAGCTTCCAGTCAGACGGAGGAGGAGAATATGTCAGAATATTATGCTCTAGCCTGTAGTGGGGTGCTCTATAGCGAGTACAACCCTTCTGGGGTTTGCTATTTGTATCCTCATTCTTGCTAGTGCAACCCTCTTCTTTCTTCTAAATTTAACATGCTATCAGAGCAGGTCGATCCCCTTGGATCGATCCTGTGGGTGGACTCACCACCTCGTTGCTTCCGCTGCAACTGCTACTGCTACTCTCTGTGCCGCACGCTCAGTGGCGTGCGGCAATCGGGGCGCACGGCGGTTTTCTGCCCGCCATGCGCCCCGAGGCGCGCGGCGATTTTCTGCCTGCCGTGCGCCCCGAGGCACGCGACGGGTTTCTGCCCCGTCACTCGGCGCGTCGCCCCCGGGAGGCGCTGCGACGGGCGACGGGGGGGCCGCGCGTCGCCCTTCCGTCGCCGCTCCTATCGGCCCCTAACCGCCGGCAGCGGCCCCATCGTCCCGCCGCCCTACCTGCGGCCCCGTCGCCCTACCTGCGGCCCCGGCCCCGGCCCCGTCGCCCTACGTGCGCCCCGGCCCCAGCCCCGTCGCCCTACCTGTGCTCCGGCCCCGTCGCCCTGCCTGCACTTCGGCCCCGGCCCCGTCGCCCCAACCTACGGCACCGCCTCCCCCCCCCCCCCTTTTCCCGTCGCCTGTCGAGGCGACCTGAGGGGGCCGCGGCGGGTATGTGGTCTCCCCTGCTCCTCCTCCTCGTCTGTCTCCCACTGCTGCAGCTACCGCTGAGGGGGTGGGTGTGTGGGAGTCGACGGAGTGGTGCTAGGGGGTGGGGTGTGAGTGACCCTAGGGGTACAGTAGAGGGTGTGTGCAATGAGAGTGGGATAGTTTGGGGAGGTTGAAGGGGGTGGCCGCCGAGAAGCCAGCAGCTCCAGTCACCCGTGAGACCGTTGCGCCAGTCGCCCGTGAGCCCGTTGCGCCAGTCGCCCGTGAGCCCGTTGCTCCAGCCGCCCGTGAGTCCGCTGCTCGTCTGCCGCTACTATTAGCCGCGGAGCCAGTTACTCCAGTAGCCCGTGTGCCAGTTGCTCCAGTTGCCAGTGTGCCAGTTGCTCCAGTTGCCCGTGTGCCAGTTGCTCCAGTTGCGCCGTGTGCCAGCAGCTTCAGCTGCCGCCCACCTCCTCTCCTCTCATAGTCCCTCCTCCACACTAGCCCTCTGCGATAGCCTCTAGCTTTGCTCATAATTGTGAACTTTAAACTATTGCTTCTTCAACTTGTGCTCAGAATGTGTGGTGACATTGTGATCCACCCTGAGCTTGTACTGCTTTGCTTGCTCTGCTGATTACACCCCACTTCAGCTATGGGGGTGTGTCAACGAGGACATCTCACTGTACGATCACACCCTAGGCCATGCTCCTGCTCCTGCTGCTATTGCTGACAGCACTGCCCGCTCACAGTGGCAGACTCGTGACGCCCATGCTCGCTTAGCAACAGTTAGCAACAAGGAAGGCTCCGCTTTACTCAAGCCCGCCGGCATCCGCGACTACCAGAGAAAGCTGGGCTGCCTTCTCTTCGCAGCCGTCACCTGCCGCCCATATCTATCCTACTCTGCAAACCAGCTCGCCGCCTACCTCAAGAGGCCTGCGGAACATTTGGCGGAGCTCGACCGCGCTCTTCACTACCTTGTCAGTACCCCGACGGTCGGACTGACTTATCATAAGAACGCAACTACACGCCTAAGCTAATCAGCTACGTCGACGCAGACCACGCGGGCGACTCCGACAACAGGCGATCACGCACCGGCTACCGCCTCGAGCCTATTGGGCCTATCTCCAGGCAATCGAGCAAGCAAGAACTAATTGCTCTCTCGTCAGCTGAAGCAGAATATATTGCACTCTGCTCAGCCACCAAGGAAGGACTCTATCTTCGCGAGCTGCTGGAAGAAGTGAAGTTAGCCGAGTTACACAACTTCACCCTGTTCTGCGACAACCAGTCGGCAATTCGCATCGCCAACAAGAACGGCTTCGCGAACAGGACGAAACACATCGCCCTACGATATTTCTTCGTGAAGGACGAGATCGAGAAGGGAAGGCTTGAGCTGTCATACTGCCCCACGTCCGAGATGGCAGCTGATTACCTGACCAAGAAGCTCGGAAAGCAGAAGTTCGAATATTGCATGCTGCTGACTGGACAGAGCCACGTCAGCGACACTCCAGAAACGAAGGGGAGTGTTGGAAACAGTCGTTCCTAAGCGCCTCTGTCGTGTCGAAACACTAAGGCACAAGCGAAGCAAAGCATATCGAGGCACCAGCGAGTCAACCCTCGGAGGTTGAAGTAACCGCTGGAGGTTACGCGAAAGTCAAAGGTCAGCGATCTTTGACCTGACAAATACAGCGCGACAGCAAGGACACACAACTGACTCGTTACAGAGCAGTTGCCCGAGTCGTCACTGTATCGAACCGCAACAGCAACAGTAAAGTAGTTATAACTATGTCTCTTCATATTCCCTGTATTCACATATATAATCTTGTATCTCTTTGCTTTAATCAATTCACTTTGCCCTCACATACTAGCGCAAGGTGGTTCACAAACTCTCTATTAGACGCTTCCGCTACAACATCAACTCTACCCAGAATTCACCTCTGCAAAGATCCTAAGGGCTTTTTTCAGGCCCAACACATCTGAATCTACCTACCAGGAGAACCACAGCGTTAGCTCTACTTAAACACTAGCAACTTTCCACCTCCACCTGCAAACGGTGCAGATGCTCGAAACTGAAGGAAAGTCTTTGGTAAGATGCCATGCCATGCCAAGCGAAAGCCTGCTCCACTCCACTCTTCTCTCCTCTACTCCTCAATCTTCTTGTCTCCTCAATCTCAATCCTTCTCTCCTCTCTACCCCCATTCTCGTTTCCCTTTCTTGCCCTGCAGTCTTGTCTTTCCCCCCATCAGCCAAGCCAATGCAGCACCATGCTCCTTTCTCTCACACACCACAACCAAGTCCATTCCAGGTGCATCAAAAGAGGCCGTGCCACACTTGGCGCTGTGCGGTACAGTCAGGTGCAGTCCTGTGGGGTGCGGTGCGTTGTAGTGCAGTTCAGTCGACCAGCCAACAATCCGATACTTGCCGTGAAACACACACGGCCTGAGCAGGATTCAACCACATCACAATACAAATCGCCTTCTTGGCTGTTGCTGCTGCTGCTGCTGCTGCTGCTGCTACTGTTGCTGCTGCTGCCGCTGCTGCTACTGTTGCTGCTGCTGCTGCTGCTGCATTCAGCCACCCGCTTCTCTTCAATCAATGTTCTCTCTCGAGCATTGGAAAGAGGAACCAGTCCCAACCACACTCAAGAGTCCCCACCACCTTTCAGTCATCCCCCCATGCCTCGTCCTTGAGTCGCCTCCGCTCCTCCAGTCTCATCCTCCTCTCAGCCTCCATCCTCTTCTCTCCAACCTGCCCGGCTACTCCTCCTGCTGCTGCTGCCGCCGCTGCTGCTGCCCGGATTGCCAGGGCTGCATTTTGATTGGTCGCTGCAAGTGCCCCCGCGATCATTCTTTGCGCTGCCCGTATTGAAGTGGCGGGGCGAGGAATGGGAGGTTCTAGATCTGCGGAAGGGAGGATGGGGAGCAAAGACAGGTGGGAGGAGGGAGAGAGGAGAGACGGGGTAGGAAGGAGGAAGGGGGGGGGCGAGGGGGGGGGGGGGGGGGGGGGGGAAGGGGATGGTGAGTAGAGGGGAATAGATCTGGGTGAGGAAGGGCAGAGATGGGAGCTTGAAAATCTTGAGTGAACTGAAGAGGGATGTGGAAAGCTGTACAGATGGGGAGCATGCGGGAGCACAGAATTGAGAAGTGGAGTGGTGGGTGAGCGGCACAGGCAGCAGAGAGCATTGAGCATCGGGTGCAGGGGTTGGATGGGTCGAGTGTCACTCGAGCAGGGGTTGGATGGTTGTCAGAACGAATGCTCTGAGCCAGTGTCGAGATGGCGGAAATGGAAGTGGGGAAAGGCGGGGAAGGCGAGGAGCAAAGCGCAGAAAGCAGTGGGTGTAGAGAGGGGTTGAGTGGGAGTCACAGAGGCAGCAGGGGGAGCAGAGGGAGCAGAGGGAGCAGAGGGAGCAGAGGGAGCAGAGGGAGCAGAGGGAGCAGAGGGAGCAGAGGGGGCAGAGGGAGCAGAGGGAGCAGAGGGAGCAGAGGGAGCAGAGGCAGCAGAGGGAGCAGAGGGAGCAGAGGGAGCAGAGGGAGCAGAGGCAGCAGAGGGAGCAGAGGGAGCAGAGGGAGCAGAGTGCAGAGAGCCTTGCGCGGGAAGGGGGAGGGAGAGGGAACCAGGTGTCAACCGTTGGCGGATAGTGCTACAGACAGAATCACTGCATGCATAGTGTTCCGAATTTCACTCACCTCGTCGGCGGATGAAAGGGTAGTGCTCCGAGGCAGTGTCTAAAGGGCGGAAGTGGAAGGGCGGCGAGGCAGCGCCTGCCAGAGCTGCTGTCGCTGCTGATAGCACAGAGGACGCTGGGGGGGCGAGGAGAGAGGGCGTGGGGGGAGGGAGGAGACAGGGCGTGGGGGGAGGGAGGAGACAGGGCGTGGGGGGAGGGAGGAGACAGGGCGTGGGGGGAGGGAGGAGACAGGGCGTGGGGGGAGGGAGGAGACAGGGCGTGGGGGAGGAGAGGGAAGAGGAGGGGGGAAGGGGGAGGGATGAGAGGGCGGAAGTGGTGGGGGGGGGGAGGGTTGGGGGAAGTGTGGTTTGGGGGGGAAAGAACTTATTGAGCTCGGGGTGGCGGGGAGGAGTGGGGGAGGAGGGGAGGAGGGGAGGGAAGGGGTTGAGAAAGGGGGGGGGGGGGGGTGGAAGGTTCGGGAGGAAAGGGGTGGATCAATCAACGACGGAGGAAGATGGTGATATAGATGGTGCTTCCCTCGCTCGTGCCCATGCCCATGCCCATGCCCATGCCCATGCCCATGCCCATGCCCATGCCCATACCCATGCCCATGCCCATCCCCATCCCCATGCCCGTGCCCATGCCCATGCCCACGCCCACGCCCATGCCCATGCCCATGCCCATGCATGACATACCAAGAGCGGGTGTGAGGAAGACAGCAAGAGCATGCGACTCATTTATCCACCGCACCACAAACGGAATGCTTGCTGTGTTTGTAGCGCTGTTGCTGCTGCTGTAGCTGAGGTCACTTTCAGCTCTACCAGCAGCATCCATGCACGTGGCTTCCATGACTAGGTTGTGAATGACTGCCTCCACGTCAGCAGTGGCCACGTCATCAGAGAGACCAAGCACCTCTAGCACGTGCCGTCCACCGTAGGGGACTGGGGGCATTCGGGGAGGAGGGGAGGAGAGGAGGGGAGGAGAGGAGGAGGGGAGGAGGAGAGGAGGGGAGGAGAAGAGAACGGGAGAAGAGGAGGGGAGGACAGGAGGAGAAGAGGACAGGAGGAGAAGAGGAGGGGAGGAGAAGAGGAGGGGAGGTCGGGAGGAGGGGGAAAACAGACGTTGAAAGGAAGGGCGAAGAGGAGGAAAGGTGGAAATGGGAAGGAGGATGAAGGAAGGGAGGAGGGGAGGAACAATAGCTCCACTAACAACATTAGCGAGGGAGGAGGGGGAACCGGGAACGGGGGAGAGGAGAGGGGAAAGAGAAACTTGGCAAAAGGAGGGGGGAAGGAGGGATGGGGAAAGGGTAGAGGGAGCAGAGGGGATGGCTAGGAGAGAGGCAGATATGGTGGCTGGTTATGACAACAAAGGAATGTGTAGATCGCACCACCCCACCCACCCCACCAAACCCCACTCCGTCCCATACCATCCCATCCAACCCACCCCACCTATCCCATCCCATCCCATCCCATCCCATCCCATCCCATCCCATCCCATCCCATCCCATCCCACAGCACACCTGTTGCAAGGTCCTCCCCATCCCATCCTCCCTCCCCAACGTCACCCCCTCTTGCTCCACCCCTCCTCCCTTCACCCCGTCCCCCCTCCCACTCGTACGGATCTCCAGCCCTCTGCTCTCCAACCCTCTGCTCTCCAACCCTCTGCTCTCCAACCCTCTGCTCTCCAACCCTCTGCTCTCCAACCCTCTGCTCTCCAACCCTCTGCTCTCCAACCCTCTGCTCTCCAACCCTTTGCTCTCCAACCCTCTGCTCTCCAACCCTCTGCTCTCCAACCCTCTGCTCTCCAACCCTCAACTCCCCAGCTCTCCTCTCCGCCTGCTCTTCTCCCTGCGCTGCTCTTCGCTCCCATCGCATCTCCTCCCCAGCCTCCCTGCTGTCTGCTCCCCCGCGTGTGGCCTCGCTTCCCACGCCCGCTCGCCTGCAGCTGCTGCTGCTGCTGCTGCCGGTGCTGCCGGTGCTGGTGGTGCTGGTGCTGCTTCTCCGGCTGCTGAATTCACTGGACTGGGTCGGCGGCGTGTCGCTGCTGCTGACTGCCAAGAGATTACTACCGTCAGCAGCAGCACTACCAGCACCAGCACCATCAGCAGCAGCACCAGCAGCACCATCACCAGCTGCAGCAGCAGCAGCAGCAGGAGGAGTGGCAGGTGCGGCAAGTGCAGCAGCAGCAGCACCGGTTGTGGGAGCAGTGATACCACAGCCTGTAGCATCTGAACGGGAGGCCCCAGCCGGGTAAGGCACAGCTGCAGCAGCGGCAGCAGCAGAGGGAGCTGCCACAACGTTATCACCAACACCAGCACCAGCAACACCAGCAGCACCAACACCAAGACCAGCAGTAGGGGTAGCAGCCGCAGCAGCAGCAGAACGGACATTGCTCCTTTTCCCATCGCTCGCAGCTTCCTTGGTCTCTTTCGTCCCTTTCTTCCCTACACCTCCTGCTTTCGTCACCGCCACTCGAGCTGCCTCTACCCCCACCTTCTCTTTCCTACTGCTGCTGGTATTGCTGTTGCTGCTGCTGCCGCTGCTGTTCTTGCTATTGCTGACGGTTCTGCTGCTTCCACACGGAAACGCGTTATTCTTAACCCCTTTATAAACGATAATTTCCTCTTCTTTTTCAGAAGCATCATCCGAATCTTCAGACTCCTCGCTCCCTGCCTCGTCACTGTACATGCGCCCGCGCTGACCGAAACTGAACCTTCCGCGACCCTTCTGCCGCGCACCGCCACCCCCGCCAGCACCCCCCGAGCTGCCAGCGCTTCTTCCGCCACCTCCGCTTTTTCCGCCAGCCCCGCATTTTCCGCCGCTTCCGCCGCCGCCGGAAAGCCTTCCGTTTGAGCTGGCTGGTTGGGGCGAAGCATCAGTGCGAAACTTCGACGAAGGTGTGGCAGTTATTTTTTTGTCGCTCGGACGGAATGAATTAGCGTCACGCGACGATGACGCGGCTTGAGCTGGAGCTAGTGACAAGGCAGATAATGACGTGGAAGCGAAATTGTCGACGTGGTCTTCCCACGTGGACTCCCAATCATCATCTTCTTCTTCCTCTAATCCGGCGGAAGCGGCTGGCTCCGCAGGCGGTTTCGCCGCTAGGTCAGCCATGCGATTCGTTTAATTACTAATATGCGCGCGGTTTTGGCTGAAAGCGGTTTCTTTATGAAGGTCGCGAAGAGATGTCACGGCGCTTATTAGTGGCCGATTGCGACTTTTCTTCCTGGTTCCAAGTACCACCACACCTGTCGAAATGAGAACCAGGATGACTGTATGTATAGCTCTGAACAAATGTTTGCATGTGCAGACCTTTTAGGTAACAGAGTCTCTTCATAACGCGTCGTCACTTTGCCTTGGGCCCAGGCTTGGTCGAGGCTCAACAACAGCTGCTTCCAAAGCAGCTCCACCACTGCTTGTCTGTTTGAATTCGTGAGATGACGTGGCTCGGCTCGCACAGATTTTGCGGCGAGCGCCAATTGGCCTGGGAGTAATCAAGGCACCTTCCTCAATCACCGGAGTATCGATCTGACCGTAACTGGGATTCAAATTCCGAGCAATAGAGCGAGTTGCATTATTAAAGGAAATTTTTGCAACATAGCAATATGTAAGTGTTTCTTGTAATGTTTACAGTGTATTTTCCTTTACGGGCATTCTCCGTGGTACATCTTGAGAGCGTCAAGATGAATGAGCAAACCCGAGGTTGCTTGCAGTGTGCCGTCGACATGGCGGAGTACACGGCGGAAGGAAGAATGCAGCAAGTGTATGCATGAGGACCACTCATCTTCATGCTTGCTCTTCTGGGACTTGGTACGGTTCCTTTTGTTGCGCAACGGTCGAAAGCGGTTTGGCTCGAAAACCCTGCAACACCGCTCTTTAACGTACTTAATCGAGGGAATAACCAGACCAGACCCTCCAGATTATTCGATCATTCCTCTCTCGGAAGCTAATATCAACTCGATATTTATTACCACCCGCGCAATAATGTCGCGGGAGGCGCTCCTCTTAAACTTCTCCGCATTCCCTTCGTCGTAATCTCTTACCTGCTTTTTAAAACATGACAACGGTAGCAGCTCTATCGGAACCACCACCAGTCGCTCCGTTAAGAGGATATCCTCTAGTGCCTATAAGTGTGTCAGGCCATGTATCCCCGCCTTACATGAAGCCTCCATTCTCTTCCACCTATCCCTCGCCGTATATCTCCCCTCCCCGCGCTCCGCCATATCTTCCCCCGCACGAGCAACCTCCGCCCATCCCATCCGCCGCGCCCGCTGTCTTCCCCTCCCCGCACCTCAACTCCCCCCATTCCCCGCGTTCCCCTTACTCCCCCCGTTCCGCGCGATCTCCGCCGACCTATTCCCTTTCCGCCTGCTCCCCCGCCACCTCCCCGCCACTCGCTTCACCCTTCCTCCCCAACTCCATTGCGGAAGCTGCGCGCTCGTTCCTATCTTCCGCCGTCCTCTCCCCCTTGGGGGAAACCATTAAGGCTTCCGCGGTGGCGGGGGAGAGACGGGGGGGAGTTGGCGGTGTCGATTCGGGGAAACGTGGGGAAGCAGGCGCAAGCAGCGGAGCGGCTAGAGGCGACGGGAGGGACGGCTGCGGAGGAGGCGCGAGCTCGGGGGACGGCGGAAGGAACCCTGGCGGAGCAAGCGGAGCAGGCGGAGCGGCGCTGGGCGGAGAAAGACTCGCGGGCGGAAAGGCTTCCGCCAGGCGCGCGGCGGAGGAGGAGGCGGCGGTGACGATGGGTCCCGCGGCGATCTTCGGGGCGCCGCTGAGAGGCGGAGCGGCGGCGGCGGCGGCGGGCGCGTGGGGGTCATCGGCGCAAGCAGCCGCGTTACATGCGCCTTCGTTACAATCACATCCGCAGCAGCTGCCGGCAGGATCGCGGCGCTACCCGTACATGCACACTGCCATCTACGGATGCGGTATGCGCGGGGCACGTCGTTGGAAGTGCGGGGGGAAGGGGAAAAGGGGGAAGGGGGAGAAGGGGTGGTGGTGGTGGGGGGGGGGGGGGGGGGGGGGGGGGGGGGGGGGGGGGGGGGTGGGAGGAAGGGTTTGGGGAGGGGATGGAGAAGGTTGTGGGGGTGGGGGAAGGGAAAGGGTGTGGGGGGAGTGTGGGGAGGGGGGGGGGGAAGGGGTATGCGTGGAGGGGGGTAGGGGAAAGGGGTATGCGTGGGGGACAGTTGGGGTGGGAAAGAGGGGGGTATGGGGAGGGGGGAGGGGAGGGGGAAGATGGGGAATGTGCATGGGTGCGCACTGCGCTGGGGCTTTTACTGCTATGACTGTGGGGGAAGATCGGCAAATGCTGCACCTTTCTCATTCCAGCTTGGGTCATTGTAGCATTCCTCTTTCTGCTTGCGCTTGGATCTCATCATGCCTCTTCCCAGCATTTCCCACTCTCCCTCTACTCCCCACAACCCCCCACCCCCCGCTTCCCCCATTTCCCCCGCGCGTCCTTAGCACTCCATCACTCTCCCCTCGTCATTTTCTTACGCGAATCCCCCCACCCCACTTGCTTCCCGCCGCCCCTCCCTCTGCACTCATGTTCCCAATTCTTAACTGTAACCACTACTGTTCTGCCCCTCCCTCCCTGCCTCCCTCCCTGCCTCCTTTCCTCGCTCCCTCCCTCCCTCCCTCCCTCCCTCCCTCCCTCCCTCCCTCCCTCCCTCCCTCCCCCCCCCCCCCCCCCCCACTCCCTCCCTCCCTCCCTCCCTCCCTCCCTCCCTCCCTCCCTCCCTCCTTCCCTCCCTCTCTCCCTCCCTCCCCCCCCTCCCTCCCCCCCCTCCCTCCCTCCCTCCCTCCCTCCCTCCCTCCCCCCCCCTCCCTCCCTCCCTCCCTCCCTCCCTCCCTCCCTCCCCCCCCTCTCCCCCTCCCTCGCTCTGCGTGCACGTCCGACACAGCACTATGCACAGCGGGGGTCACGGCAATAGTCTTCCCCATGGCCTTCACAGTCACGCTGGAGCTGCTCGTGGGTAAGCCAAGAAAGTACCTCATGCGCCCGGGCGGTGCTTATGGTAGTGGGATGACTTTTGAGTCGACTCAAAACTCACCAAGAACGGAGCTCATGCACCCGGGTGGTGGTTGTGGTAGTGGGATGATAATGCTGCGTTGCTATGGTACCTGCCTATACCAGCTGCCTCTTAAATCGTCTCCATTCCATGCATCTAGTCTCCAAACTGGCATTCGTCTCTTTCGCATTCCTAAGATCGCCCCCTTAAATCCCATCCGTTCCACCTCCCCCTTTCCCCCAATTCCTCCCCTTCCCCTTCCCCTCCTCCCCACCCCCCACCCCCCACCCCCCCCTCCTGTTTTCACCTCTTCGTTATTCCCATCACACCAGCCAGTGTCCGTGCAACAGGGGACTGGAGTCGCTGGCAGCGTTTCTGCTGCAGCGCTCTGCTCCCTTTTACATTCAAACTTCCTCTCGTCATCCACCAACGGTTCCACCTCCCCCTTTCTTATCCCCCTTTCCCCTCCCCATTTCCTCCTCCCCCTTTTCCGTCCCCTTTTCCCCCCCTCCCCTTTCCCCCTCCGCTTTTCGCCTCCCTCTTTTCCCCTCCCCTTATCCCCCTCCCCCTCTCTCCCCCCCCTCCATCCCATTTCCCCTTCGCCATCCCCATCCCACCAGCCATCGTCCTTGCAATAGGCGGGCTGGCGTCGCTAGCAGCGTTTCTCCTGCAGCGCTCTGCTCCCGGCGCGCCTCTCTTCCTGCTGCTCGCGTGTCTCCACTCTGCCACTGCACTGCTGCTGCTGCTCTTCCCCTCCTTCGGTGCGCTCGGCCTCACTCTCGCCCTGGCAGCCTGGTTCATGGCTAAGGTGCGTCCTTCGCAGTCTCAGATGCCTCTTGAGTCAACTCAAACGCCACTGCGCTGCTCCTGCTCCTGCTGCTGCTGTTGCTGCTGCTGCTGCTGCTGCCGCTGCCGTTTCTCTTCTCCTCGTTTGGTGCTCTCGCCCTAGCAGCCTGGTTCAAGGTGAGTCTGTCCTGCGGCTGCTGCCGATGCCGCCGCTGCCGCCACTGCTGCTGCTTCATCTGCCTCTGCCTCTACTGGTGCCATCACTCTGTCACTCTCCCGCTTCCCTCCAACCCCCTGAAACCCTCCCTCACCCCCCACCACCGCTCCTCCTCCTTCCCAGTAATTACCCTTCCTCTCACCCACTTCCCCCCCACCCCCGTTTTCCCCTCCCTCGTGTCCCACCCTCCTACCTTGTCAAACATGTGTCAGGGTGTGAGCAAGCTGTCCTTCGCACACTCCCTCTCCTCCTCCCACCCACCCTCCTCCTCTCCCTCCTCCTCACTCATCACAGCAGCAGCCGGAACTCTCTCCCTCGTCTTTGGAGTTACTCTAGCCCTATGTGCTCCCTTCAATGCCCCTTGGCTCTTTGCTCTCCTGCTTGGAACGGATCTGCTTGTAACGGGGACAGCTGCTCTGTTCCTGGCAGCTTCTGCCTCTGCTGCTGCATCAGGTCGGTTGTTTTTCATCTGCTTCTCCTTAATATTATCGTCCTCTTTTTCTTATCTTTTACACATATGTATGACATGACACGTGCATACACACTGGGTTTCCCTTCACACGTGCAAGCTATCTTTGTACTGTTGCTAATGTGTGTGTATTCTTTCTTCATCCATACAGGTGAACTGCGTCCTCTGGCCCCTTCACAGCTTGTGTGATTGAGACTTCAGATTACAGCTGTGCCGTTCGTTGCAATGCAACCTCATGCGCTAGACTTATGCCGTAAGTATGCTGCTAATAAGGGCGGTGCACATTGTGCTGTCATGACCTTCATGATGCACTGTGATGCGCCTGTATTTTTACATGAAACATAAGTGCTATAAGTTTATATGTACCAATATACATATATAATCAACGCTACATGGTCTGGCCACTAAACAGTCCCTTTTACCACCTTCAATGTATCCCAGCGGCACGGCAAGGGAAGAGCAGAGGGTGGGGATTCTGCAAAAACTACCCTCTCTGCATCATAAGGGAGCAACAGTAAGGAGCAGCAGAGTGTAAGGAATTTTCTCGGCATTCCTTGCGGAGTCCGACTACATCGCGTACAGCAACAGCCGTTGTTCGCCCATTACTACTAACGGGGCTTCGCCAACTTCGCGCGCACAGTTTTGCCAAACCTTGCTCTGCTGGCCCGGCCGTGTCGGCCTACGCTTCGGGAATAGCCCGAGACTTGTTAAAAACCTAAGGCAAGGATGAGTAGATTAGGTGTGTTGGGCTGAGATAGCCCCTTAGGATCTTTGCAAGGGATAACTCTAGGTGAAGTAGTTGTAATAGCGGAAGCGTTTAGTGAAGAATTTGAACCGACCTTGCACTGGTGTGTGAGAGCAAAGTTGATTGAATTAAACAAGCAAATACAAGGATTTATATAAGAGTACAGGGAATAGATAGATAACTGTATTGCTGTTGCGGTTCGATGTAGCGCGACTCGGGCAACTGCTCTGTAACGAGTCAGTTGTGTGTCCTTAACTGTCGCGCTGTAATTGTCGAGTCAAAGGTCAGCGACCTTTGACTTTCTCGTAACCTCCAGGCGGTTACCCTAACCTCCGAGGTTGACTCGATGCTTCGATTGGGACTGCTTCGCTTGGTACCTTGGATTTTGATACGACAGAAGCGCACTTAGGACTTATTGTTTCCAACACTCCCCTTCGCTTCTGGAGTGTTACTGCTGGTGACGTGGCCTTGTCCAGTCAGCATCATGCAGTATTCGAACTTCTGCTTGCCGAGTTTCTTGGTCAAGTAATCGGCTGCCATCTCGGATGTTGGACAGTATGACAGATCGAGTTTCCCTTTTTCTATCTCGTCCTTCACGAAGAAATAGCGCAGGGCGATGTGTTTCGTCCTGTTTGCGAAGCCGTTTTTGTTGGCGATGCGAATTGCTGACTGGTTGTCGCAGAACACGGTGAAGCTGGGTAACTCGGCTAGCTTCGCTTCTTCCAGTAGTTCGCGAAGGTAAAGTCCCTCCTTGGTGGCTGAGCAGAGTGCAATATATTCTGCTTCTGCTGAAGATAGTGCGATTAACTCCTGCTTGCTCGACTGCCAGGAGATAGGACCGATAGGCTCAAGGCGGTAGACATAGCCGGTGCGTGAGCGCCTGTTGTCGGTGTCGCCGGCGTGATCGGCGTCGACGTAGCCGATTAGCTTAGTCGGTGTAGCTGCGCTCTTGTGGTAGGTTAGCCCGATCGTCGCGGTGCTGACGAAGTAGTGGAGAGCGCGATCAAGTTCCGCCAGGTGTTCAGCTTCAGGCTTCTTGAGATAGGTGGCGAGCTGACTTGCGGAGTAGGATAAGTCAGGACGGCAGGTGACGGCGGCGAATAGCAGGCATCCGAGCTTCTTCTGATAGTCGCGTATGCCGGCGGGCTTGAGTAGAGTAGTTCGTTCCTTCTCGGTTCCTGATGTGTAGCGGTAGGGCGTGGAGATGGCGCTTGGTGTGAGGCTGAAGCGTTTCGCGATGGTGTCGGCGTATTTCTCGGCGCTTAGATAGATGGCGTTTTCTTCTTCGCGGATGTTGAGCCCGAGGTACTGTGTAACGGTGGAGGAGACCGTGAGCGTGAGGTCTTTCTGGAGCTCTCCTTCGAACCACGTGGCGATGCCGTCGGTTGACCCAATGTAGAGGAGATCGTCCACGTAGACGATCAGGAGAACGTAGTCGCTTCCCTTAGTGAGGCGGTACATGCCTTGGTCGTGAGGTAGTTGACTAAAGCCGATGCGGATGAGACGGGCGTGCAGGTACTGCTGCCACAGTCGCGGTGCCTGCTTGATCCCGTAGAGCGATTTAAGTAGTTGACAGATTCGGTTGGGTTCGCCGTGGGAACCGTGCGGGAGCTCGACGTAGATTTCTGCATCCACAGGTGCGTAGAGGAAGGCATTCGCGACGTCGATCTGCCGTAACTTCTTCTTCTTCATGGCGGCAATGGCGAGGAGAATTCGGAGTGACGTGTGGCGGCTGACTGGAGCAAAGGTCTCGGTGAAGTCTCGTCCTTGCTCTTGGTCGAATCCACGTACGACCCAGCGTGCTTTGAATTTTTCGATCGTGCCGTCTGCTTTCGTCTTGATGCGGAAGACCCATTTTCCGGTAAGGATGGTTTTGTTCCGTGCCACGCTTACGGGAACAACCTTCCAAGTGTTGCGTTCCTCTAATGCCTTCAGTTCTCTATCCATGGCTTCACGCCATTTCTCCCTGTGTTCCCCCCCCAGAGCCTGCTGAACCGTTGCAGGCTCCTTAGGAAGCGAGCTGCGTGTGTTCCCGTGGACTGCGGTGACGAGGCCGAGGATTTGCAGCCCAGTCTGTGAGTATCGAGGGAGTTCTGGATCCTCGGGATAAGCTGCTTCGTCTCCCGTTTCTGGGTCAGGCATGAAATTTGGCCCTACCCTTTCTGCTTCGTTGGTGTTGACTGTCACAGGTGTTACGTAACCATCGTCGGCGAAACGGTAGAAGATTTCGGCGTTGTTACTGTCGCGAGGATTATCCTCATCCATGGGCACGTCGACGGAGCAGTATGGGAGAGGTCCGGCTTCTTCTGAGGCGTTGTCGACGTTCTGTTCATCCCAGTCTGCTTCGTCCGCTGCTGACGCGAAGGCTCGGTCACCACGAAAACCACTGGTGAGGTCCCGATTCTCGTGCAAGTTGGCGAGGTACGTCTGAAGGGTGAGTCTTTCGTAGAAGATCACGTCACGTGCTGCTACTGTTTCCTTTGTGTGGACGTCGAAGATTTTCCATGCGTTGTAATTTTTCTCGATGCCGAGGTGTAGTCCCCACTGTGCCCGTTGCGAAAATCTTCCCGCTCGTGCTTCTGGGGGTCTGTACTGTACCATGCACCCGAAAACTCGTAACATTTTCGTGCTGCCCTGCTTCCCTGTCCACAGCAGATGCGGTGATGCGTTGTTCGGGAGTGACGACGACGACAACAAGTTGTGTAGCATGACAGCGTGGTCCATTGCTGCTGGCCACTGGTGGTTGGGTAGCCGCATGCCACGTAATAGTTTGCGCATGCTGTTCTGCAGGGTCCTGTTCAGTCGTTCTGCAACACCTTGCTGCTGATGTGCGTAGGGAAGGGAGAGGAGTTGCTTGATCCCCCTTTCCGCCAAGAACTGCTTGAAGCGGTGAGAGGTGTACTCGCCACCTCCGTCTGACTGGAAATTTTTCAGTTGTGTTCCAGACTCTCTCTCTGCTATCGGTAGCCAGGCGGCGAATGCTGCGAGCGCCATGTCGCGGCTGGGTAGGTTGCGATGCCCGACGTATCGAGTGGCGGCGTCGATGAAGGTGATGGTGTAGTTGTAGTTGACTTGTCCTGGCTCGCGATTGTAGAGGATGTCGCTGTAGACTTTTTCGAGTGGTGCGTACGCTGGAGCGCTCGGGTTGTGATGTGAAGCAAACGGTCGATGAGGTAAGTCAGCTTCGGGACATATAAGGCAAGTCCCTCGTGCCTTCTGGAGTTCTCTGCCATCGGGTAGAAGTAGAGAATCTTTGTCAAGGACTCCTGCTCTTATCGTGTTATTCAAAACCGTGTTGCTTGGATGTCCTGTTCGTGCGTGCCAGATCTCTTCAGAGGCGCGGTGTCCAGGTGAACGCTGATATGCGTCGGAGTTGGAGTAAAAGCTGGCGACGAGGTTGGCGCTTCGGTGGACTTCACGTTGAGTCGGATTCAGCTGTTTCGCGGGTGTTGGTGGTGCTTCGTCGACTGTGACTGGTGTCGTTGTTCCTGCTGCTGCTGATGTTGTTGCTGCTGCCGATGTTGTTGCTGCTGCCGATGTTGTTACTGCTGCCGATTGTCGAATTGTTGCTAATGCTCGTGTTCGTTCTGCTTCAGGAATGGTGTGCGAGTACCAGAAGCCTCCTGGGCTGAAGTCGGGGTCGAGATCCGGAGGGTGTGTCCAGTCAGTGAAATTCACGATGGCGTCGCTGTCTGCAGTGCCCAGGTCAGGAACGAAGTCGAGGACGAAGACGTTGTTCTTCAGCACTGCTTTCCCGATGTAGAGACCGCCTCTCCCGTGGTAAAGTTTGAACTCCTGGGTCGTGCTGTCGGCTTCCAGATGAATTCCTTTCGCCATCAACTGGCTAACGCTCAGTAAGTTGTAGCCGAGTCCTTCAGCGATGAGTACCTTAGACATGTGCAGTATGACATTTGTTTCTCTTGACTGAAGCTGTACCACTCCTTGTCTTCGTGTGCGCAGGTTTTGGTTGTTGGCAACCGTGATGATCACTTCCCGTTGGAGTCGATGTTCGCGTTGTACGAAACGCCCGGACGAGCACATGTGTTGCCCGCAGCAACTGTCCAAGAACCAGGTGTCTTGGCCGGACGGTTCACTTTGAGCGATGGCGGCGTACGTTGGATTCGGCTGGAGTAGCTCACGGCGAGGCGTTCTGTTGTCAAGCTCTTCTTCCGGTGAGTAGTGTGGTGGTGATTCGGTTGTACATGAATCGGTTATCTTCGTCATGCAGTTGATTATATT